GTGAGCAGGAGTGAGCAGGAGTGAGCCGGGTGCTCATTTGGAGGAAGAACATTCTAGGCAGGGGTGGGAAACAAAACAAAACAAAAACAAGTGCAAATGACCCAGGAAGGAACCGGGCCCAGAATCCACGTTCATCTCAGTCTGCCTGAGGCTTGTCCATCTGTCTCCCTGTGCAGGCTTCGGGGTTGAATGTGAGAGCCTTATCTTAATAATCAGATCAATTGGAGTTTCCTCCATTTTTGCAGGTTTACTATGCCAGGCTCTTTGTGCTAGCGTTGTTTCACTTAAGCTTCACAGAAAGCAAGCAGAAGGGCGTGACTTGGGTCTGTGCGTAGTTTAAATGCCCGAGTGATCAGCGGGACATTTGAATTACTATGGCTGCCGATGCTTCTGTCGATTTTTATGAAAACCGATTCCCCTGCCTGGAAATTCCTAATCCCGGGACTGTTCAGGGGACGTCAGAAGCTGAAAGCGGGCTCCTTCATTTCCTCCCCTTCTGACACAAGCAGGTGCTCTGCCAGGCACTCCCCACACACAGTCCTGGGAAGGGAGGGCCAGGCCCCACCCCCAGGGGAGAAGCCGAGCCCCAGAGACCTTCCCAGGGCCCCGCAGTTGTGGAGCACGTCCGGCCCCCGACGTGTGTGCACCCCGGAAGGTCCTCGTTTAAAGACGTAATCCAGACCTCGTGCCTCCAGCCTGGCCTGGGGGTGATGTAAACAAGTTCAGGATGTTCCCAGAGGGAGGCGAGGTCAGAAGATGCCTGGAGCGCGGCATTTCCTCCCCATCCTTTTCTAGGCTTCTCTCCCCCTGCCCCCATCGCCTGCTTGGGAGGTGTGGGCGCCTGGGCACAAGGGCAGGCTGCTGCCCCAGGGGCCAGCTCCCTGGCGCTCCCGCTCAGCTCACAGCCCAGAGACAGGTGCGGCCTCGGCCTTCCATTAGCCTTTCTGTGTACCTGAGCTGCCTACCCTCTCTGAGCGTTAGGCTCAGTGTCTACGTCCAGGAATAACCACTCTTGCCTTGGAAGTTGAATTTAAAATTTTAAAGAGGAAATGTATGTGGACGCTTGGCGGGTGCTTTAGTCCGTAGGTGGTGTTGGATGCTTGGTGCTTGGTGATTGTCAAACTGCAATTTGAATCCAGGCCTCTGACGTCAAGACCCCGAGCTGGACTGGTTCCCATGTGATGGCTCTGCCACAGCAGACACTGGACCCGGAGGGACCAGCAGACCCAGCCCCTGTCCCCGGGAGCTCAGCTTCTGACAGGAGGAGGATGTAGCGGCAGGTGGGTCAGCTTAGGGGCAGCCCAGTTCAGCAGCACGTGGACGGCTTTATTTTTAATTCTCATTCGCAGATTCATTAGGTATTAACCGAGCCGCTGAGTCCTTGTCTTGACTTGAAGGAGAAGAGAGGTGAACTCAGGTGAGGGGGGTTCATTGACGAGATAAGGACCTTGTCCGTTTTCTAAAGCCCTTGCCTACGATCTGGAGAAGGGCTCCGGAAGAGGGATGAGATGACTGACAGTGGGGTCCCTGCTGCCTGTGGGTGGGAGGGAGTGACGGCAACTGGGTGAAGGAGAAAGTCAGAATCCAGGATTATGACGTGGAAGGGGACAGGAATGAAAAAGGGACTTTAGACTTGACTTAGCAGGAAGAGCTAGATTCGGTGAAGTCTGTTCCCGCAAAGGACTGAGCCAGGAGCAAAGTAGTCCCTATAATCACATCTCCCTCCCGCCTCCACCCCGACAGGTACCTGAGGTTTGGCCATTTACAAAGCCTGCGCTCCCAGGAGCCTTCACCTGTCCTCCACTTAATCGTGGCCAGGTACCCAGAGCAGGGCCGGGTTTCTTTAAAGGCGAGCACACAGACGCTCTGAGGGGTCGGCAGTGTGCCTGGTCCTTTCGCTCTTGGATTGAGCATCTGCTCTACGCCGGGTTCTAGTCTGGGTGCTGGAGGTGCGGCAGGACAAGCAGGCGGTGTTCTTGACACCCAAAGTGACCTCGGGCACCTGCCCCACGAGCCCCTGGAGGTGGGAATGAGGCGATGACCCTGAAATGACCACCAGCATAAGATACAGAAGATAAACGCACAACTGTGTAAATGCGAACGCATAGTGTCCAGCGGTGAGGAGGGAGGTGCGGGATTCTGGCGTGGGCGAGGGTGCTGCTTTATTTTATGTAGGGGGGTTGGACTACGTCCCTTTAATCAAGGGCATCTGGGCAGAGACCTGAAAAGAGTGAGCGGGAGCGCTAGCTGCGGGGACTGCGAGCTGCACGTGTCTGGAAGGACATTCCCGGCGGGGGGACGTGAGCAGAGGCCCCAGGAAGGACCTGACTGGTTAGCGTCTGTGAGGAGCAGTGTAGAGGCTGGACCGGGGCAGGGCAGGAGAGGGCGGCGCCGCTGTAGATGCGGTCATCCTGCAGCTCCGCAAGACAGTCGCCCCCACTTGGATGAGCTGAGACATTACCCGGGGCAGGGGGGTTGGCAGAGAAACCCAGCCCTGAACCTGAATCGTCTGATTCCAAGTCTCATGCTTCTTTCCCTGGACCATTGCCCCTTGTCCCACAGATGCAATGGCTTATTATTATTATTATTATTCCCATTGCTGTAATTATTCCCATAGCTGCTCTGCTGCCAAGACTTGAACTTTGGAGCCGAGGAGTCTGGCTGCTCCCGAGCGTGCTGCTGGTGAGGGCAGGGCGAGGGGAGCTGTGGAGAGAACCCACGTGTGCCTGTGGTGTGCGCCCCCTCCCCTCCCCACCTTGGGTCAGCTCCGCCTGCCACCTGAGATTAGGAAAAGCAGGAGGAGGAAGAGATTTGTGTTTAATCCGCTCAA